GAATATATATCTGTAATATAGAATATATATCTGTAATATAGAATATATATCTGTAATATAGAATATTGAATATATATAATATAGAATATAGACTAGATAGAATATATAGAATATATAGAATAGATAGAATATATAGAATAGATAGAATAGATAGAATATATAGAATAGATAGAATATATAGAATATAGAATAAATAGAATAAATAGAATATATAGAATATATAAAATATATAGAATATATAGAATATAAATATAGATAGAATGTGGAATAGATAAATAACACCAATACATTAACAGATAAATAACCTCAAGAGTAGATAAATACCCTCAAATTGAGGTTGGGTAAATTCATCAATAACCTAAAAGATAATAGATCAATAACCTTAATGTATTAATAGATAATTATTAATTATATATTAGTATATTTTCTATTCTGTTATATAATTAGATAACAGATCAATAGCCTCAATGTATGAATAGATAATTAGTTATATATTAGTATATTATCTACTCTATTACATAATTAGATAATAGATCAAGAATCTCAATGTATGAATAGATAATTTTTAATTATATATATTGTTGTTTATCTATTCTATTATATAATTAGATATTAGCTCAAGAACCTCAATGTATGAATAGGTAATTAATTATATATTAGCATATTATCTACTCATATAATTAAATAATAGATAAAGAACCTCAATATATGAATAGGTAATTAATTATATATTAGCATATTATCTACTCTATTTATATAAATACTCTATAATTTATATATAATATTTATTTATATATAATTTACATATATAAATTATGTAAATTTATGCAATTTATATAATCACTCTATAATTTATATATATTTTTATATATATTTATATATAATATATAGTTTACATATATAAATGATATAAATTTATATAATTACTCTATAATATATAATTAGACAATAGATCAAGAAGCTCAATGGATGAATATTTAATTAATTATATATTAGCATATTATCTACTCTATTATATACCTAGATAATAGCTCAATAGCCTCAATGTATGAATGTATAATTATTAATTATATATTAGTATATTAGTACTCTATTATATAATTAGACAATAGCTCAAGAACCTCAATGGATGAATAGATAATTATTAATGTTATTATATTATCTACTCTATTATATAATTAGATAATAGATCAAGAACATCAATGGATGAATAGATAATTATTAATTATATATAATTATATTATCTATTCTATTATATAATTAGATAATAGCTCAAGAACCTCAATGGATGAATAGATAATTATTCATTATATATTATTATATTACTACTCTATTATATAATTAGATAATAGATAAAGAACCTCAATGTATGAATAGATAATTATTAATTATATATTATTATATTATCTCTTCTATTATATAATTAGATAATAGATGAAGAACCTCAATGTATGAATAGATAATTATTAATTATATATTATTATATTATCTCTTCTATTATATAATTAGACAATGGCTCAACAACCTCAATGGATGAATAGATAAAAACCCCCTAATAATGAATTTATTGGGTGTGGTTTCCATGACAGAACCCTGGGGATTTTTGGGGAAATGGGGAAGGGAATCCCTGGGAATGTCCCGAGGTGCAGAGGTGGGAACTGCTCAGAAATGCATTTCTGGGTGTCCCCAGCCCGGTACTCACGATGGGGGTTCCAAAGGGAATGTAACCTGGGGGAGAAAGAGAAATTCATCAATTGCAATGGCATTAATTGTCATTTTAATTGTCATTTTAATTAATTTTAATTGTAATTTTAATTGTAATTGTAATTTTAATTGTAATTTTAATTGTAATTGCAATTTTAATTGTAATTTTAACTGTAATTGTAATTGTAATTGTAATTTTAATTGTAATTGTAATTGTAATTTTAATTGTAATTTTAATTGTAATTGTAATTGTAAATTGTAAATTGAATGTCCCCATGCAGGAGGAACCCCAGCCTGGCTCATCCTGCATCTCCACCTGATGCTCCACCCTGCAGCTTCAGCCTCCTCCTGCATTCCCCACCCTCTCCACCTGATGCTCCACCCTGCAGCTTCAGCCTCCTCCTGCATTCCCCACCCTGAATTTCCTTTTAAAGCTCCCCCAAGTCTTTTCCTCCAATTTTACTGAGCACCACGGAAATCAAACTCTTCATGTTCCCCCCCTGCTGCCAATTCCTCTGCTAATTATAATTCATCTCTGATTTCCACTGCAAGCTCCCAGAGCGTTCCCCCAGTATTGCTGAATTCCCTTCCTGGATCCAAAATTCAACCAAAAAGACCCGAGAGGGAGGAAAATTGGGAAGATAAATACAGGACAAGGCAGCAGAGGCTCCTGTGTCCCCAAGAACTGAGCCCTGCTGATGTTCCCCGTGCCCCAGGCAGCTGAAAATGTTCCACCCAAACCCAAGGATTAATTAATTTAATCTTTTAAATTAATATTTTAATATTTTAATCTTTCAGATCTGCTGGGAAACGCTGTGCTGGTGCTCCCAGGAGAGCTGCTGGGGACCTGAGGACAGTGGGACACCCCAGAAAGGGGAAGAGGCAACTTTTAATCATTAAACAGCTCGTTAAGAAGCTGCTCCTTCCTGGAATCCCAGTGCCAGGGCTGCTCAATACCCTAAAACGTGGAAAAACAGGGATCATCCCGGTTTTTTTGGGGAGTAAACCCTCCCCAGCCCCCTCCTCTTCAGGCAGTGAGGATGGATCAAGCTGTGGGCAGCGAGTTTTGTTATTTACTGCAAAATTAAAATGCTCCCAAAAGTGACAGATCCCTCAAAAATGCCAGAAAAGGCTCTGGATGGGGCTCAGGTAAAATAGGAAGTGTTTTTCCATGAGGAAAGGGGAGAGAAAAAGGGGAAAAGGAAAGGGGAAAAAGAAAGGGGGAAAAGGAAAGGGGAAAAGGAAAGGGGAAAAGAAAGGGGAATAAAGAAAAGGGGGAAAAGAAAAGGGGGAAAGGAAAGGGCGAAAAGGAAAGGGAAAAAGAAAGGTGGAAAGGGAAAAAGAAAGGTGGAAAGGAAAGGGGAATAAAGAAAAGGGGGAAAAGAAAAGGGGGAAAAAGGAAAGGGG